GGAATGGGGGGGCAGGGGGGGGTAGAGGGGCAGCGGGGGGAGTAGAGGGGCAGCAGGGGTGTGGGATTCCTATCTCCCGATGGCCAGGGACATGTAGTTCTGGGTGGCGGGCGGGTGGTTGTTTTCTACATTTAGCCCGGTTTTGGGCAAGCAGATCTAAATGTACAGCGGCGATCACTTGCATGCAGCCTGCAGGTCTGCCATTCTCCATGGTGGAGGGTTGGCAGGTAGGGGGGTGCATGGAGGAACCTGGCCTTGGGGCAGCAGAGTGAGTAAATCCGGCCCTGCATACAGTAGGCGTCAGTGTCGAAAATGCCAGCAATGCCACGTACCGGGGGTGTCACGTACGGGGGGACCGATTCCAGGTCACGACCTGATGATACCAACATGAATATTCTACCAAGTTTTCTATTTGAAGTCTGCGGTGCGTGCAACGTAGACAGACGTCCCCTGCGTACACAGAGGGGTAGATCGTGAAATCACAACGCTCTGAAATAAAATATTGTACAAGGGTTCTTTTAGTCCTCCTCCGAAGAGGAAGGATCATGACTCCCTGAACCTCCCTGGTGGGCGAAGACTCCTGACAGGGGCAAGGTAACCCGGGTCCACCTAGGTCAGTGGTGGCGAACCGTGGCACTCCAGCTGTGCCAAAACTACATATCCCAACATGCATCTGCCTCAGGGAGTTATGTATGTGGCTGTCAGAGCCTTGCAATGCCTCATGGGACTTGTAGTTCCAAAACAGCTGGAGTGCCAAGGTTCGCCATCACTGACCTAGGTCATTGGGTTATGGCTTACGGATCCCAATCCTTAGGGACCAGTCCACCAAGTACTTGTCTCCCAAAGGGAGATCCCCAAGTGGAGAGAGGTAAAGAAAACTCATAGAGGCCACAGAACGTCAGTCCCAACAACAGGGTGGGCCCCGAAGGCACAAACACCTTCCGTCTTCTGTAGGGTCCCAATGTGAAGTCATGCATAATTAGGTGCCAGTGTGAGACGTGGCGGGCCTTCCAGCCAAGATAAAAAAAAATGCTCCAGGTTAGCCACAAGGCCTGCCCATGAAGCGTGGTGCAGAAAAAAAACCTACTGAGTGGGGTCCCGAACCCATCCTGATTTTCTGGCACCCCTGGGATGCCAATCCAAGGGGCACAGCACAGAAGGGCCTCTGCACTCCCTGCTCATGGCCAGACCCAGTAGATCCGCTTTCATCAGGATGAACTGGAACCCTCCAGATCCCGGACACTAGAGAACTACTCCTGAACCCCATTCTTATGTGAATGGAGGCACAATTCAGTTTCTTACTCATGGCCAGGCCCCCTTGGGACCCCCATCATCCCCGGGCAGAGTACTGTTCAGTATATGCCTTCAGTAATTTGGCCTTCGGCATAAATTGAACACAAAAAACCCTGTTTTTCCAGCTGAGAATTTGTAGCCACAAAATGGTGGGATGTCGGTGTGTCAGGGTACTAGGGGGCGTTATGGTGTTGTATTGTTCAGTAGTAATTGGCCTCCTTCTTTTACTGCTCGATATCACTCAGGTACGTTCTCCGAATACGATCTCAGAGTATAAGATATCCACCAGTTGGGTAAGATTGTCATTAGCACAATTTCTGTCTGGTCGTCAGTGATGGAGCCACCACCTGTAAGGTACTGGCTGTGGTCTGGGTGGGAGAGAGGCCCCGTGGGGCTCTAGAGATAAGGCTGGGCCATACCACCAGGCCTCACAATTCAAGACGTTAGAACAACAATAGTGCCGTAGACATGTAATGCACCACCAGACCGAATCATTACTCACGGCCGGGCCCCTTACATGACTATCGGCCGTACCCCCCCTCCCAGGGGAGGATATCCCCACAAACGTGGCACCTAGCATCACAAACCCCTAAGCCCCCTCCAACCTGATTTATCCTAAAGGACGCCATCAGGGGCTTGATGCCGGCACACACAGTACCGCCGGGCCAGTACAGCCCACTCTGCCACGTCTCGGCTCTCATCACTGCTGGATGAATGGACTCTGCAAACAGTGCGGGCTTCATTCACAAATACATTGTAACAAAAGTGTCAGGATGTATTTTCTTTTTTCCCCTTATCCTTAGTGAACGCTAATTGGTTCTTTTTAACTCCATTTGTGGTGCCGGCGCTGCGTATTGACCATGCGCAGGGTCCGCAGACACGGAGGGAGAGGATGAGATAGTGTGGAGATCTGTAGAGGGGGATTTATAAAGATCTGAACCCGTTATCAATCTCTGTGACGCGTCTTCTCCCCACAGACGTGGTAGACTGGTACATCTACCTGGCCGCCGCCGCCGGAGGAGTGGCCTTCATTATCTTCATTGCCCTCATCGTGTACAGCGTGAGAACGTGCCGAAGGCCAAGTGAGTGACAACTTTGTATTTCCTACACGTGGAAAGTCTCAGAACATCTTCATGGATGGCCACCTGACCAGATGTAGGATTGGTCCTATGGTGGTCACACGCGTCAGTCATGTGACAGCGCACACCCCAACAATCCCATGTACATCCGGGCACATCGGCCCTCATACTATGGAGTGATTGGCGGATCTAAAGGGGGAAAACAAGAAACAAGTGGCCATATGAATGGCGGGCAGGAAGAAGGGGCATCGGGGGTGACGAGGTGAATGGCTGAGAGACAGGAACGGTGCAGAGAACGGCAGATTCTGGAAAATGGCGGGTGAGGGGGTGGCAGGTGCTGGAGATCAGAAGGGTGATAAAATATACAGAAGAATTCTCATATATAACAAAAATACACCACATCCTGTACAGAGACCGCAAGCTGCTTCCTGTGTCACCGTGTGTGTCACCCTGCACAGTACACTCCATCTTCTACAGACCGGACTCCTTTCCACTGCCTCATACCTTCTCCTTCCTCTCATTTCACCTCTGCGCTCCTCTCCCCGTCTCTTACTCTGCTCCACTCATCTCTCTCTCTTCTTTATCTCCTTCTCTTTATCTCTCTCTCTTCTTTATCTCCTTCTCTCTATTTCTTATCTCTCTCTCTTCTCCTCTCTCTCTTCTTTCTCTCCTCTCTCTCTCTCTCTCTTCTCCTCCTCTCTCTCTTCTTACTCTCTCTCTTCCTCTCTCTCTCTCTCTCTCTCTTCCTCTCTCTCTTCCTCTCTCTCTCTCTCTTCCTCTCACTCTCCTCTCTTTCTCTCTTTTCTTCTTTTTCTCCTCTCTCTCTCTCTTCTCTCCTCTTTCTCTCTTTTCTCCTCTCTCTCCTCCTCCCTCTCTTCTTTCTCTCCTCTCTCTTCTTTCTCTCCTCTCTTCTTTCTCTCTTCTTTCTCTCTTCTCTCTCTCCTCTCCTCCCCGCATCTCTCACGCCCATGCCTCCCCCTACCCCCTCACTCTTTCCTCTAACTCACTTTTTCTCCTCTTTGTCCTTCTCTCCCCTCCTCTGTCCTTGTATCTCCTCCCTTCCAGTCTTTCCTGTAACCCCATCTCTATTTCTCCAGAATGCGTAGTCATACTGAACACCGTGCCACCCTCGTTTCTCTAACATCCACTAGCCAGGAGAAAAACGATCAGAATAAACAGTCAGCTCCAGACGCAAAGCAGACCATCATAAATCCCTTCAGCTTAAAGTCAGAAAACGTTATCACAGATCCTGCTTAGCCCGAGATCTGCACAGTCCAGTAATGAGAACAGTCATATTTGGCTACATGGATCCACAGGAAGGAGGAGATTTTCATTCGGCGCTGTAAACAGGCGCCACCATTCACAGGACGGCTGCCGGGAACTTGCTGGGGACCCGGGCAGCCTTCCTGTGAGGCCCAGCGCACTGTCATTTTTCATCTGAACTGCTAAAGATACCTGAAGAGTCACTTATGAGAGTCTGTCAGTTTGGACTTCCTGAGTGAATTGTCCTCCACATAGGAACCAAAGACCCGGCCAAACTTTGCTTCTCCTTCAAATCCACTTTATTTTTCTGTTTCTCGTTTTATATTCTCTTATTATATCTTTTCTGTTATTATCATCTTATTCTTTTCTTTCTTAAAAACAATATTTAAAAATCATCAAAATGATTCTCTGAATGCTTCAAATAAGAAATTAAACAATCCCAGTCTGTTGGAAGGCAAGTATTATAGTTTAAACTAGGGACGCACCGATAACGGTAGTTTGGAACCGGGTACGAGTACCGATATATTTTTTCCGGTACTCGCCAATACCAAATACCGAGTACCAGAAGTCCCATTCAGGAAGCCAGGCGGGGTGTCAAGACTCGCCACCCGGCTTCCCGATTAACAAGAGAGCCGTCCCATGCTTCTCGTCACAAAGCATGGAGCCGGGTTGCTGGCCAATCATGGAAGCCGGGTGCGGTGTAATGATGCCGCGCCCTGCTTCCTGATTGGCCGGGAGGCCGGCTCCATGCCCCCTTGTCACAAGTGAAGTATCGGGCTAGGCATGGGAGCATTTGGCCAAATACGAGTACTCGCCCAAATACTCGGTATCGGCACCGATACCGATGCTTGTATCGGTATCGGTGCATCCCTAGTTTACACTCTGGTACATTCCTGCCCCTGTGTGTGGCGGCGAGTGTCACAGATATTCCTTACAGTTCAGAATTGCTATAGCGGGGGGGGAATAGCGCATTGCTTCTGTCACAACACATTGTGTCTGGCTACTGATTGTGTGTAAAGGGTTAACTGCTGAGTTAATTGACCTCAGTGGCAAGCATGATCCCTCTCTTCCTCTTCCCTCCCTCTACTTCTACTTTGCTCACTGAACAGTAAACAACAAATTTCATCATAAAACAAGTCCCTCCCCCTCAGAACCCGACATCTTTTGAGATGTTAGTTTTGAGCGGAGTGATCCTTTAAGTACCACTGAGTTGCATTGACGCAAATAAAGTGACGGCGTCCCTTTTGTACCCAACAGAGCGGGAAAGAGCCGAGGAGACCATGTACTGCAACGACCGGAGGCAGGTCATCCAGGAGCGTCAGCTGCCGCAGCCCCCCGTCCAGGCCAGCGCTCCCCCGCCAAGTTACTACACCACCGATGAAACCGAAGACGTCTCCTCCGAAAGGCCGCCGACCCAAAGACTGGAGGCGCCGGAGGCCGCACCGACGGGCAAGAAAGCTCGAAGGCCGAGACCCCCCGAGCCCCCTAATGGGCAGCCGGAGAGCGTTCTGCTTAACCCCCAGGGCCCGGCTCCGCAACAGACGAAGCCAGCCCTGCCGGGAAATCACCCCAAGGATCAAGCACCAAAGCCGACGCCGCGCACCAAGTCCAAACCGACACGGCAGAACCGGAAGAGACACTAGACGGGAAGCGGGGGAGGAAACGATGTTACAGGTCAGCCGGGACAGTATTCACTGCCATTTCTCTTCTGTCTGTACTGGATCTTAAAGTATCTGTTGGGCCCATTGGGAATTATTTACACGTTTTGAATGATAGGCAGACGTGTTTATCGGCGGTGTCGGTGAACCGGCAACCGGGGACAGCTCTGCAGCACACCGCACCAAAGCAAAGTGCATGGCTGGGCGTTACTTAGAGAGGTCAACATGCAAATACAGCCTGCCTGGGAACGCCCACTCATCCAGAGTGACACCCGCCCATCGAGGCATATTAATATTTGCATAACTCCTCCCAAGAGCCAGCCCACTGATTGCATCAGGACTGAGGGCTCGAGAGGAGTACTGCGGCAGGGCGCTGTTGTCAGGGCCGGCACTGAGCAGAGGGGCGGCACATGTTTGAATCACCCGACACCCGAAACGTGGAGTTCCGGGCGTTAATTTACTTTCTACATTTAGCCCCGCTTTTGCACAAGCCGAGCTAAATGTAGAACAGGAGAAATTACTTGTTTCTTTACAAGTGTTCTCGGCGATGTCGCCGAGAACACTTGTAATCAGAGTGCCGGTCCGTCAGAGAGAGATACAAAGTAACATTGTTTATAAACATTGATCAGAGGGGGAGATAGAGAGATACAAAGTAACATTGTTTATAAACATTGATCAGAGGGGGAGATAGAGAGATACAAAGTAACATTGTATATAAACATTGATCAGAGGGAGATAGAGATACAAAGTAACATTGTTTATAAACATTGATCAGAGGAGATAGAGAGATACAAAGTAACATTGTTTATAAACATTGATCAGAGGGGAGATAGAGAGATACAAAGTAACATTGTTTATCCTTTTATTTCCTCTGTTTCATTCTTCTGGAGATGGGGGGGAGGGGGGGGAGAGCTTTAATTTGCTGATAATGTCAGTTGAGGGAACCTGACAATTAAAAGAAACGTTTTTTAAACAAAATAAACTCACATGTGGCCTCTTAGTCAGGGGCTGTCAGGGGCCACACTTGCGGGCCCCTAGTATCTGTACCACTACTGCAGTGTTCATATGAAATCTTCTCTTTGCCCGGCAGGACATCTTGTGGCCGTTTGGGGAATTGCAGCTGTACAACCTTGCACTGACTTTACACAGACTTGGAGGGATCTTGGAACTCACCGACCAATCAGAGGTCTGCACATGGATCTGGGGATCCTCCAACCCGCATCATACAAAGGAGGGGGGTCATTATGTTGTCCCATTGTCTCTATTGTATATGATTATGTACATAGCTTGGAAAACAGATTTGATGTGAATAATATATTTGAAGTCACGCGGACCGAGCCGTGGCCGAAGCACGTGGACTGGACACCGATCCGGATGGATTGCACTGGAATGTGGGCGTGGCTTGATGGATTCAACTGGACCATGCCCGCCGCAAGTGGACTTGCTGGACTCCTGAGAAAGTGAACTGGCCTCTTTCCTGACTTGTACATTCACAACAACTAGAGTGCCCAGGTTGCCTACCCCTGTACTAACATGTTTCAGGCACTGCAGGCTGGAGGGGGCGAGGCAGCTCACTGGAGGGCAATGTTGTGTGAGGAGCTTACAATTCACTGAGATGCCTTCAAAGTCCGAGAGAACA